CCCCAAAACCCCAAAACCCCAAAACCCCAAAACCCCTTAGGAGTTATTTAAGAATGATTTTAAACTATAAATTAAAAAATGGACGGATTTGCTTTATTCAAAAATACAAACAGTGATAGTGATTCTGACAAGGATGTTGAAACAAAGTTTAACAAAATCGGTCGGAACAAGACTCCTTTCAGAACTAATGATAGGTTTAACAGAGATCTAGGTTATAATCACTCTAAACAAAGAAATGCATCTGTAGTTAATAAATCTCATAATATGCCTAAAGCACCAGCATCTAAGGCTAAGAGCAAGAACTATAAGCCACGTGCAGGCTTCTATAAACCTGTGAACAATTTGAAGCAGAACCCAACCGATTCTAATATTAAAAGGAACAAGCCAGCTTCTCTTCCTTCTTCTGAAGAAAAAGCGGGAAATGAAAATCAGGAGAACAACGATGACAACTGGGTTGAGGAAGGTCTCGAAGACATCGATCTTGCAAAAGTCTCTAAGCAGCAAACTAATAAGAACCCTCTGTGTCAAGCCCTGAAGGATACAATGGACAACGCCCTTCTAAAAATGGAGAGCGCCAGCAGGAAGGCTGGAGTTCCGATCAATTCTTGCACACAACACAAAAATCAGAGCGATGCAAAGATTTTGCAACCCAAATCTGGATTAAAAGACGCTAAAAAGACATTAAATTTCAACCAGAGTGAGAGTTCAGACTCTAAATTATTTAACTTGAGTGCTACACCAGCATCAGCTGAGAGTAAAATACTCTCCAGTGTTCATAGTAATGCTGAGGTAAAGCAATTCCAGCCTGTAGAGCAGAAGGAGGAGGTCCAAGCTTCTCCTAACTTAAAGCCTATCTCTGAAGATTGTAAGTTCCCTCTTAAAACTTTAGATGAGGAAGAAAAGGAAGTTTCCGCAAAGCCAAAGCCCAAGGTTACTAAAAAGCGGGCTGCTACTAAAGCCAGTAGTAATTTTGTGCGGATAAATATGAACAAGAAATATCAGCAACACTCAAGAGGAGTTATGAAGCGTAAGTTAAGCTAGTATCTAACCTGCTCTAGGCCCTAACAAGTACAAGAAAATCAGAAACCAGATGCGAGAGGATAAGAAAATCCACTACAACGGAGCCTTTGGTGGGTTTGGCAAAGAAGGGCTTGATGGCGCATTCATCTCGGAATATGGAATTGAGAGTAGAATTGTGCCTGTTTTCTCCAGAAATTTCACAGAGAGTTATGCTAAGGATGAACCACTGGAAGTACCAAGCACCGATCAAGAGTACTCGGATATACTCAAGGACAAGTTTGGCTATGACTCGTTCTTTGAAGGACAGCTTGAAGCTATAAAGTCTATTCTTCAAGGACAATCAACAATGGTGGTTCTTTCTACAGGTGGAGGAAAAAGTCTAATCTATCAATATTGTTCTTTATTCATGAAGGGATTAGTAGTTGTGATTACCCCATTAATCTCTTTGATGAATGATCAGTTGAGTAAACTTCCTCCATGAACATCTGGAGCTTGTTTCAACTCTCAACAGAACTTCCATATGAAAAGATCAGTTATCGAAGCATTGAAATAATGACCAAATCTCAGTAATTTATATGTCACCTGAAAAACTAGTTGTTGAAGACTTCTCGAGGTATAACCAAGAGGTCTCGATGATATGCATTGATGAGATCCATTGTAGCTCAGAATGGTCACATAATTTCAGACCTTCCTATCTAAAGCTTAGTGATGTTATCTTATACCGCTTAAACTGCAATGTAATCCTTGGTTTGACTGCCACTGCTACTAAGGACACAGAAAAATCTTTAGTGAAGGAGTATGATATTAAGAAAGTGATCAGGAGTGAAGATCTCAGTCGGATGAATCTCAACCTTTGTATCACCAGAGATGATGAACACGATAAAATGAAGAACCTAGTGACTCTTCTCAAGTCAGAAGACTACAAGCAATGCACATCAGTTATTATTTACTGAACTTATAAATACATAACTGAGGTTGTGGCTAATTATTTGACACAGAATGGAATAGTATCCAGTCCCTATCATGCAGGTATGGATGAAAGCAAAAGACAGAACACTCACAATCTGTTTAACAAGAACAGAATCAGATGTATTGTTTGTACAATTGCATTCTCCATGGGTATTGACAAGAAAGATGTAAACAGCGTTATCCACTATGACATGCCCCAAAGTATCGAATCATATGTGCAAGAGATAGGAAGAGCAGGGAGGGATGGAAACTTAGCAAAATGCCATTTAATTATCAGTGATAAAAATTACTATTCTCTAAGAGCTCTCCTGCTCAAAAGTATTGTTGATCTAGATGTTACTTTCAAGTTCGTTTCTAGATTGATGAAGGAGATCAAAAATGTTGCTGTTGATCATAATGTTGACACTTATATTGGAAGATCTAGGGTCTTCCATGACGATGAAGCAGATCCTTCTAATCTCTTACTCAACGAAGACACCAAAGAAATCGTATTAAAGGAACCAAAGTACGTGTTTATTCCTATCAAGGAGTTTTGTGAAGAGCTTGATATTGAGAAGGAAGTAGCCATGACTTTGTTCTCATATCTTGAGAATCACTATCTCGAGAAGGATAATGAATACTTTATCAAAATGTCAACTAATATTCATATTATTCTAAATCTGAGATTTTATAAAGGAACCCCTGAAGATCTAGCTAATGGACTCCATATGGAGAATTCTAATAAGAAAGATGTTAATCAATTCAGCCTCTTTATGGAAAAATTTAACGAAATTTGCAATTCAAGAGATGGAGTCTATAAATGCTCTGTACCTATCTTAGCAATGAAATTAAAGGTTCCACCATTTGAGGTTCCAAGAATTGTCTATGAGATGCAAAACAAGGAGCTCTTTACTTTTGATTTTGAGATGGACTCTTTCTGTATTGCTGCTTACCGCCTCAAGCAAGATATTCCTGAAATCTCGAGGATCCTGCTAGCCAGAGCTAAAGAAATTGAGCAAAATAGCATCAGAAAGTTAAATTCAATGTACATTGCTGCAAGGAAGCTATCATTCAAGAGTATTGGATACACCAATAAGGTCAAAAATGAGCAGAAGAAGTTCAAAGAAGGCTTGGCCAATCGAACGTCCAATGCCTTCCTCAATGTAGAATTAAACTTGGCTCCTGAGATGAACAATCTTATTAACAAATACTTCATGACTGATAATTTCCAAGAAATTGAGCATGAGCTAGCTGGTGAGTACGGTGTAGAAGCCTATCTACCCCTGATCAGGATAGATAATGATAGAGAAAAGAGTGCTTTAGAGAGCGATATTAGAACCCTTTTGCACTCAAATACTCCGGTAGGACTAGAAGCTGATTACGATCAGAACAAAGCTGGGCATTTTAGTTGACTTGATATTGTCAGAATCCTTCTTGGTGTCTCTAGCAAGAACATTTCACTAACTTTCTTCAAAAACAACCCTCTCTGGGGTAAGTACAAGGAGCACGACTACAATGATGTGATGAAATATGCCAGAGAGTTTTATGTCAATTACCATATTGAAATGAGCTCAAGAATGCAAATGAACGAAACAAAATTCCAAGCTAAGAGAGTAAAGATGTTCTAAAAATGTGAAAATATTCAATATTTCTTCGAAATGGAGGGGTTTTGGGGTTTTGGGGTTTTGGGGTTTTGGGG